ATATTATACTATGTGTGTGTTAAGTAGAAAGTATTTTACGAGTGATATCAATTGTCAGTTAATATATATTTCTGTCTATTATTCTTTCGTTTCGCTAAACTAATATCATGATTTGTAAAAACAGTTGACAGAAAGTATTCTCTATTAATGTAAATAGCGATTATAGTATTTATGTAAATCAGTGAGCTGTAATTCCATTTATCGTTTAAAAGCATTTCACTTTTTACCTCGATAATTATACTGTTGCAATTGGTAACTCTAACTCTCTTATAAATGCGCAAAGTATTTACGTGTAATGTTGATTAAATACTTATATACTTCTGCAGTATTCGTTCATATTGTTAACTAAAATTAGAAAGTCATTCTTCGTGTATCAGTTCGATCAATCATTGTAGCGTGTTTTTAATTTGTTTTTGAAATTTTCCGAAAAATTTTCTAGCGTTCATTCGGGTCAACTTACAGTCTTACTGATTGATTGCAAATGTTGAAAGAAGACATTTTTTGGCAGTGATCTTTTGTATGCTTTTATTTTGTAGAAAGCAATAAAGTTTTCAAGTTGAGCATTTTTAAACGTTGTATAACATGTATGAATTAATTTTTGACCTATATTAATTACTGCAACATAGGAATGGAAGGGACAAATTCAAAAATTTTTTCTCATTATTCAGTGCGTAATTAAATCATACAGACTTAAGTAAAACTTTTGTCAAAATACTGTAAACAATGCTGAAAAAGTTTATTAAAGTTTAGTAAAAAACTTCTGAAATACAGATAAAGTAGGTAATTATTTCAAAAAACATGATATTCACGGTATACTTTTGAATTTGAAAAACAACATATGGATATGAATGATTTGAAGGGCAATCAAGTTTGCATTACTAATGCCATATGAGTTATCTTTTCTCTTAAGAAGAGTGATAATTGATATCCGGTGCTGATCCTCTAATTCTCTTTTCTCAAGGAATTTCCCATATAAGATTGATTACAAACTAATACATCAGTATGAGAACACGTATAATATTAATACAGTAGTATCTCTGAGTAATTAGTGTTATTTCTGTGTAGGACTTTTATTTGTCATACAATAGTAGTACGTTTGCACTAAGATCGATCTGTATTGCGGCAGCTCAATCATCTCTGATAATATTTATCTCAGTTTGACCTAAATCCTCTCAACCTCCGATTGACATTCCTTCAGCCTTATCAACTTGCGTTTGTGTGATAGAAAACATCTGCTCTGCTGTTTTATTCATTATATATAAGTAGGTAGGTGATTTATAGTGGCTAGTTTCGCTGAGTAATCTTAATTCAAACTGGACACTATTAATACTCTGAGTGTAATTTGATGTCTTCTAATAACTTATTTTAGAATTCAAAAATTTGTAAGATTTTTAAAAAGTTTTTTTTAAATTGATGAAAAACGCTTTAAAATTAGTGGTGTTTTCATAAAAACATTTTTCGATAGTACTTTTTGTAATTTTTTTGTCACAATCATTATTACTGAAGTGGTATTACAGTCTTATTTGTATTCTATAATTCACTCATCAACTATAACCTATACTTTTCAATTATATATTACAATATTATTTATTATGGTGGGAAATAATTAGAGACTTATTTTTTCAAGTTGTTTTTTTGGTATCCACAAAGATTCCTCGTATTCAAGAACCTTTTTAAGTATTATTAGTTTGCTTATTTTGTCTAACCTAGTCTAACTCTTACTTATTACTTACCTTATTTGCTAGCGTATTAACTGCAGCCTCTCAGTATTTCTAATTTCGTTAGCTAATAAGCTAAAAAAGCAAAAATCAGAATTACTGAAATTACTTTTTATTCCACTCTTTTAGCACTTCTACGAAAATGCTTTTGGATTTCAGATATGTCAGACATCTTTGCAAGCTAATATTTTTATTAATTAATATGCTAGTTTTTGTTGAGTGTATTCAAGGGATGAAGATTTACTGCTGACTTATTAATTTGCATTTTTCTCTTGTTTTGAATATTATAGACTGAGAGAAATTTAATAATATTAACTCTGGTATGGGTGTCTGCAAGTAAATTATATGTATTTGTAAATAATTTTGTATTTTTGTAAATAAATGACAAAACTAATTTGCATTTCGTGTAATTTATTTTTTATTCTTTTTTGATTGTTTTGTTTTTGCATAAGGCATTGATTGATTTGCTTATTAAAACTCAGTTTTATTGAAGTAAAATAATACAATGCAATTTGTGTTTTAAACAATTAAATAACTGAGAAGCGTTTAATTCCAAAATTAATTCTAAAATTGTTTAATGAAAAAGAAGAGCAAGCATTAATTAACTGATTAATTAATTAATTGGGTAAAAAAATTATTTAGAAATTAAAAACTGATCATGTTTGATTGAATAAATAACTTTATCGATTTTTAAATCATTGATTGACTGAATTGCATTGAAGGTTACACTTTGTTAGATATATATGTCCGATGTGTACTGAAACAGTTGTTGTTAAGACGTTGAAAATAAGTCTTCACAAAGCGATCACATAATTGCAAGAAAAAGGTCAAAGATGAGATATAGCTGGAGACAAAGGTTACGAATGAGATAGAGTTGTAGGAATAAAAATATCTGGTGACATATTGCTTGTTAATGCATTTATTTTTATTTGAGCAATTATGTTTGATCTTTGGTCTTGTTGACCTCTTGAACATTTTTACACATTTTGCTATTATTCAATGAAAATATGTACTTGAAGGAGGTAATGAGGATTTTTTTTCTTGATTGCTTACTTGTTTTGTCTTCATTTATTGAATTGTTTTTATTTACTTTTAGTAAAAGTATGATATTATCGATTTATTCCGCTTAGACTGATCTTAGGTTTGAGATCAATAGTGATTAGCAAAGAAGTAATTATTACTATCACTTTTAGACGCTAGAAATGAATTTAAGTATGGGTAAAAAAGAATATAACTTCTGTTCTTTAACTGCTTAAAAAATGAAATGTGACAAAGTTTGTGAATTTTTCTAATTCATAAAGATATGATTGAATATTATCTCAGAATCTTAAGTAATCACGTACTTACTCTCAGAATCTTAAGTAATCACTTACTTATCTCTAGACTAAGCACCTTGTTGCGTGAGTGTTAAATATTTCCAGAATTTTTTGCATTTTGCATTTTGCATTTTGCATTTTGCATTGGAAGAGCACTTTTGATCGAACAACGAATAGTTTTTGATCAAAAAAATGCCACAACCATTCATATTCGAAAAGGTTATCAATTATTTGAATCAGAGCAGAAACTATTTTTTTAAACATTCTTTGGAAGTCGCTGTGATTCGTGCGCAAGAAAGTGAAATAATCTACAAAAGAAATTTACTTTTGTACAAAAGTAGTGTACACTTTTACATTATTTTTGTTTATAATAATATTTTTAATTAAGTATATTGTTTAATCGTCTACGTAAAGACGTGAGATAGCAAGTGATACATTAAGCAATGTTCAGCTATCCTTAGCTAGTACTGCTTTTATTTGATATTATTTATAAAAAAGTTTTAATTATGCACTTCTTTCATATTACAGTAGCATGTTTCATGAAATTCTATTCTAGCAAACGTCTTTATCAGTTTTTACTTCATGAACTTAATGAATGCTAACTTTTCCATCTTGTTTCCTACTGTCATCAGATGTCCTTTCGAAACTTTTCTACTAAGAAGACTTTAAAATGTCTGCAAAACTTTTAGGTAAAAAACACTTTAAGTATTCAAGACTTACGTCAATTTGCTAATCGAATTTTCACTTGAAAGCAAAGCATTTATGACGTAACATTATGGGAAAAGTCAGAAGCATTTTCGAAATTTTGTCCTAATAAATAAGACCCTTTGGGTATTACGAATTTACGTCAGTTTGCTAGTCCAATTTTTATCCGTCTTACAAATTCGCTGAATAATTATTTCAAGCAAACAATTTGCATACTTTTAAGTCTAAAGATTTCATAGGTATTGCAAATTGTAAGTAACATGCCATAACCGAAAGAAATGTGAAGATGTAAGCACTGATATTTTTAAAAAATTTTTAAATTGGTCAGCTAACTTAAATATTCCTTTCATATGAAAGGGATCTTCGACTAGAGCTAGCATAGTTTTGGCTGGTGTTATGACATATTTGAAGTAATGCAACTATTCTAAGATTTAATTTCACGTTAATTTTACGCTTAATCCGCAGTTTATGAGAAATTAGAGATTTCCTACTTTAACTGCATTTGCATTTTGGATATAATTATTGGAATTCATAAGGACTACTGCCGTATAATACAGTTGAAAGGTTGGATGTACTTCTTTCTTACTTGAACTAATCGCTCATAACATTCGAAAGTTGAAAATTAAAAGCTCACTTTTGTAAATTCTTTTACCATAAAATCATATACCAAATTACTACGGTAATTACATGAGAATAAATTGATGAATTTTATATTAGTTAAATATAATCATACAATTAGTGTGCTGAAAAATGTTGAAGCTCACTTTTGTAATTTCTTTTACCATAAAATAATATATCAAATTACTACGGTAATTACATGAGAATAAATTGATGAATTTTATATTAGTTAAATATAATCATACAATTAGTGTGCTGAAAAATGTTGAAGCTCACTTTTGTAATTTCTTTTACCATAAAATAATATATCAAATTACTACGGTAATTACATGAGAATAAATTGATGAATTTTGAATTAGTTAAATAAGGTAAATCATATATAATTAGTGTGCTGAAAAATATTGAAAGTATAAAAATTTAGTAATGGTCTGTTTTGAATTTTATTACTAAACTTGTCCAAAGTTCAAAGTTCTTTCTTGAGATTTCTTGAATGAATAATTTATCTTAAAATAATCTTTACGTTTTTCAGATTGATTCTACGCTTGTGATATATATCAGTACGCTTCTTATTCTTTCTTTTATACTAAATAATTGCGGAATTGAAGTGATTCATTTTCAGGTTTATAGTTTCTAAGCAACAATAATGTCATCATTGTCAACATCCACAATATTAGCGCCATTGTCGACAACAATTTCAGCATCGTATCTGTCTGCTTTCCGAGTTTGTTTTTCTTGTTTTGTTTTTAGTTAATAGTTAATATTAAAATGTTAAAAGGACAGCATTGTAAGTATTTGTGAATGTACTTCTCTTAATATTACGATCATTAATTAGTTCATTAATTAATTAATTAATTGTTAATTTGTGATGATTTCTGTTGCATAGTGCCATAGTCTTTAATATTCTTTTCCATCCTATTCAAAAGGCAATTCATAAAGTGAGTTACAATTTGATAATATTTAAATTCTTTTTGAGATATTAAAGCATTTTCCATTGTTCAAAGTTTATTTTTTGGATAAAATCAAAACTAGTCTCTGATCAGTAATTCAGTAATTGGTCCTTCTTTCATCTTTGATAAATAGATGACAAATTTTGCTTGAAATAGAAAATATCCATATTTTCAGAATGATCTATTATGGGCTCTTGTCATCGGTATTATTTTGGCGTTTGTGCTTGGATTTGCTATGGGTGCCAATGATGTCGCAAATGCGTTTGGTACTTCTGTTGGCAGTAAAGTATTAACTCTACGACAAGCATATATATTAGCAGTCATTTTCGAAACACTTGGAGCCTTGCTTATCGGTTGGTATATTTCTTCTCAGAAATTAGTTGTAAAACTTGTAAACTGAATTTGAATATAAGAGTTACTTTCAAGTCTTTCAATAAATTTTATTAATATCTGATTAGTTATTGAACTGCTAAATTTCAGGAAACTTTAATTAAAAATTAAGGACTTTTTAGCGAAATATGCACATTTTTTTAAAAATTTTAACCGCAATTGCAGGTTATAATGTGACGGATACTATGCGCAAAGGTGTTGTTAACGTTACCTTATATGATGATGATCCAGAAGAGATATTTGTTGGACAAGTTGCCATTTTGGGAGGTATGAAAATCGAAAATGAATTTATTTATTTATTTATAACCCATTTATTTACTTAGAAATATCATATTAAAACTATCAAATATATACAGTATATTTGAGAAATTGCAACCAAAACCAAAATGTTATATCAAATTAAGATCTGACATTTCATCTGTTTATTAATCTAATTTCTAATTTTTCAAATTACGAAAAGTCAGCAATTCCTTGAGAATTGGCATGGTTTTTGCTTTGAATTGTATGAATGCTTAATTTTTGCAGGCTGTTCAGTATGGTTGCTAATTGCTACACTTGCTCGTTTACCCGTGTCATCTACACATAGCATTACTGGTGCAACAATGGGATTTGGATTAGTGACAAGAGGTGGCTCAGGGATACAGTGGCACAAAATTTTTCAAATAAGTAATTTTTACCTTGTGCAGATTTTGCTAATGGCAACTAATAGCAGTACAAATGTTTGTAATTTCCTCAGTGAGGATTACTTCAAAATTAACATTTATTTCATTCCCAAATAAATGAAACTTTCTTTCTTTTAAATATTTATTTTTTAATTAAAATAAAATAAGTAATTTACATATTATTTTTGCTTTCTATAGTGATCTTTGGAATCCGATAAGTAATTGAGATTTGAATTTGGTCATTAAATTACATGTTTTTCATATAGTTGGTTCATGGTTCGTGTCACCTGTATTATCAGGCATTGTGTCAGCTATTCTCTACGTTATTGTCGACCATTCCGTGATTAGAAGAGTAAGTTTGCTATAATTTTTCAAATTAGTTAAAAGTAATAAAATTATGAGTGGCGGAACAAAATTATGTTCACTTTATCCTTTTGAAATTTTGAATTTTTCAGTGTTTTCTTCCTTTTATACCACGAGTGATAATGATCTCATACTGTTCATTTGACTGATATTCTTAATTTTCAACGCATTTATCGGATTGTTAAGTTCTACCTGCAAATTATAATTCTGATTTTCATTTTTTTCAAAAAATAAGATTCGTGCTGAAGTCATTGTGATTCGCAATTATGGTCCAAAATCATCCTTCTCCAATGTACTTATGTTAAGCATTGAGCAGTAGTCATTTTTTAGTGACAGAAAATTAGTTAACAGAAGTGTGTAATTTGTAGATAGAAGTGAATTGAGGAAAAACTAAGTTTGTTATTAAACGACTGAAAATGGTTAGGTGTCTTTTATGGTACGGTTCAGTTCAGTTTTGGGTCACTATTTTCGCTTTTTTTCAGAAAAATCCATACCGGTCTGGATTGATGGCATTGCCTATATTTTACTGGTTTTGTATTGCATTCAACGTGTTCACTGTATGCTATCAAGGATCCAGATGTAAGTGAAATTGCTCAAAATTCATTTTTTTTTCTCTTCTTTTAAATTGGATAAATTTGGTACGAAATAATTTAAAAAGTTTTGAAAAATCAAATCATTCAAAATCGAAAATAATTTATGAACAGAAATATACAAATAATTAGATTTTATTTGTGATTATTTACTATCTATCACTGAGTACCATATTTACAGTGCTACAGCTATCCAATTTACCGTTTTGGATCTGTGCATTAATCAGCATTGGATGCGCAACGATAGGTTCAATTGTGATTCACTTCTTCCTTTCGCCACGGCTGAAAATTTGGATAAATAGTAATTTTTAATATCGTTTTCTTTTTATAAGTCAAAACTTAAATATCTCGGACGGATATTTGATTACTACAAATAAGAAGTAAGCAAACATCAGTCTTATAATATATTTTTGAGCTGAAACTGATAGGTTCGGGTGAATTACTTTTGGATCCTACTGCACCATACTTACCCAAGCCTGCAAAAATAATTATGAGTAACATCCGCTGCATTCTTTTCTATCTGTTAGCATAGTAACAAGTACTGAATGTTTTCAATTCCTTTATTTTTTGAATCTCACGACTAGATTGCATTTACTTTGAAGCATCGATGAGAAGCGATACTGAAAAGAGCGACACGTTGGAAGTACGAACGATTGACAGTAAAGTAAAGTCGGAAAATGAATCTGTAAGACAGAAGCTGAACATGGCAACAGCATTGCATGGTAGTTTCCTCTGATTATACTACTCATGTTTTTTGAAAATGAAATAAAATTCAATTATAACTTCATTTCTGTTTTGAATGTTTGGCTTTGTAACATATAGTTTATTCTTAATTTTTGCTTTTTAAAATTTGCTACTTTTACAATGTGAAGCATGAAAAATGTAATAACTGCTTCCTAACAACATTAACTTTTACTGTAAATGTTACTGTAAGAATTTTCAGAAAATAAATACTGTGATTAGTGGGATAAAAAGTTGCATCATTTGTGGATTATTTATGTACGTTAGGTTATTATTTTTCATCAGGTTTATTTTCTTAGCTAACAAGTAATAAAATTCAGAATGTGGACCATGTAATTCAAGCTCCTCCACTACTCAGAAAATGAATTTTGGGCGTGAGCAAGGAAGTCTTGAACCGAAAAAAAGCAGAAATAGCACTACTGATTCGAACTTAAATCACGAAGGTCAGTTCGTAGATGTGTTATAAGCAGTTTTATAATACTACGGTCATTTTTGAATTACTGGAAGTATCAACAACAAAAAACCAGATGTGACAAAAAAATATGTTTGTTTTCAGTCAGATTTTCCGTATTTGATTTGAGAAATTGACATTCATTTAGAGTTATATAAAACTTATTAAATACAAATATAGAAGTGAAATCTAATTTATCTCACTCAGTGTAATCCAAGATAATTATGTAAACTTTCATGGACTTTCTTTGATTTGTAAAAATTCTTTATTTCAACTAATAGTTACGTGAAAATGCTCTATTTAGAATAAGTATGAGTTAAAGAAGTTAAACTTGGTGAAGTGTTTAAGGCTTCATAACTTATAAATTGATATTCTAATGATAAATAACAAGCAGTTTTTCAGGTGTGCTAAAGTTTATCCAGTGGATACTGCCAGCTCATGATCAAGTAGCCGATGAAAAAACGATGAAGATATTCAGTTCAATTCAGGCTTTTACCGCCTGTTTTGCAGGATTTGCTCATGGCGCTAATGACGTAGGGTCAGTTTTTTGGTATGCACTAAAGAACTAATGCTGAGTTTAGACTAAGTTAAACAAAAAAGCGTTTAAAAGTTCATGTGTTTAAATTTGAATTGTAATACTTAATTTTGCAAAAGGATGAATTCGTAGAAATCATAACTTATAAGCATTTCGAAGTTTAATGTTAATTTCACATAATCAAAGTGTGTAGTAAAAATAATTGAAAATTTCAGAAACGCAATAGCTCCATTAACCGCTTTGATATCAATTTATACTAGTTTGGACAATCGGCAGCGAAGTGAAACACCAATTTACGTGCTCCTTTACGGCGTGGCAGGGATATGTGTTGGTCTTGTGGTGCTTGGCCATCGAGTGATCCGAACAATTGGCACTGATATGACTGTCATTAATGCAGCTAGGTATGCATTTACTTACTTTGAGATCACTATTACATTATTAAATTGACTTGTACCAATTCGCAAATCAATGTATAAATAAATAATCATAAATGGAATTAGAAATTGGAAGTCAAAAATCAATTTTGTACAGAATTTGTAGCGAAATGTTTCAGCGGTTTTACTATTGAATTCGGCGCTGCAGTAACTTCCTTAGTAGCCAGCAAACTAGGCTTACCAATCAGCACAACACATTCACTGGTTTGTTTGCACTCATCAGAATTTTCAACTATTTTAGTAATTTGCAAAATATTTTTAATGAATTATGTTTAATTATTCATTTGGTATTTTTATTTGATGCTTTGTTCATTTTGAATTCTTATTATAGGTTGGAAGTGTAGTATTTGTTGGCTTGATCCGTGATAGGCGAGGAATTGATTGGAAAGTGTTCCGTAATATTGCCTTATCATGGATTTTGACCATGCCTGTTTCAGGTTATTTTCTAAATCATTTGTTTGGTTTCTTCAAATGGCTTATCCCGTTCCAGGACAGAGCTTAATCTGTAGTTTAGCTCTGAAGAGATTTGTTTTATTCTTGTTTTTCAATTTTACATGCACTGCAATTTAACTGAAAATAATTGCAATCGACAAAAAATTTCATGTAATTACTCTTTTTCAAAGGACTGCCAACAAACTTTCCTAAAAATCTTAAAAGTATTACAAGATGTATGAATTAATATTAATTTCAGGTCTATTGGCGGCTGGCTTGATGCTATTTTTCAAATCCGCAGTATGATACCACTTTACTTACTGCTTTATATTAGGTTATTTACTTGTTGATTGTTATGTATGAAACATTTTTCATTATTTGTCATTTGCATAAATTGTTTATTAAGTAGTTAGTGTTTTGTGTAAGTTATCTCAGTGAAAAGAAATTAGTTTGACTTTGTAAATACTTTGTTGCAATTTTGCTATATTTTTAACTTTTCTTCAGGTTTTGTCTGATGTTGTTTAATTTAATTTGTGAAAAAGTTTTAAGTAATCTTGGAATAAGTTAAGCAGTTTGAAAATTATACGAGTAATTTAGATGTTTTTGGTTTGCAAATTACGCCTTGTATTGCTATGGCATTTAATGTTAATATAATATGAGTTAAAGAGTGTTATTTAGAAATAAGTTCATAGTTCGGTTAAGTTTTTGATTAATTTATTAATTCTAGAAATTGGAAACTAATTTTGTGGTAAAAATTTAAAGAATAATTTTATTTGTGATAAGAAGCTTAATGAAGAGCAGGAATGCATTGTTTTGAGATGTGTAATGTGCAGAAGTAATGGCGCCCTGTAAACTGAAAACAATACTTTATTTAAATATTATTTCCTGTATTTATTTATATATTTTTTCAGTCAATAGGGTGACATTACTAAGGTCATACGTTTCAGAACAATGCATAATCTGTATTATCATATTTGTTTACGATTTCTCGCGTAATTTTATGTGTAAAAATAATGATTTTAGCTTTATTTGTGTAACTTTTTAATTAAATTTCGTATGGAATTGAATGAATAAATTGTTACAACTGTAATAGTAGTTGTGGCATATTTATTAATTTTTGTAATTAAGATCAAACTGCTATCTACTCAGAGTGAATAAGGCACAAGACAGAAAAAACAATGAACACATTTAAAAAATAAAATCTGTAAATACATTCAGAAAAAAGAGTTTAAAAGGATGTAGGATTCAGAATTTACTTAATTAGAAGTGCCAAAAATTTGAAAAAGAGATCTCAAAATCTGTTGCTAGAAACAAGGAAGATACAAAGCTTAGAAGTGTTTTGAATTTATAGTGAATTGAGTGTTTAACATAGTAGAGCAAGTGGATAACTATGGGATGGATATATGATATGCTAAGTATTATAAATTAACTTGTCGGGATATGTGATGTGCAAAATATTATAACTTATTAACGATATTTGTAAATTCAGATAGTAGAATGTAATTATATATGCATAAGTCTTATATTAAGAAACACAAGACTAGTAGTAATGTTTCGCTATATCCATTTTAAATTTTAGCAGTTGTTTTGAATTTTTTTAAAGCTTGATCAGGTATTCCATTAAACTAATTTACATTTATGTAGTTAAGATTAGTTTTGTGAGAGAAGTCGCTTTACGCATTTCTTATTGTACTGCGCAATTCTTGAAATGATCACCTTTGAACTAAACAATTGTTGGACTAATCCATCCAAAAATTTAAAAAATAAGAAAAACAAAGTGAATTCCATAAATTCAAGTTATTGGTTAAATATTCGCTGCAAAAGAATGCCATAAATTATGATAAGATTATACTGAATCTTGTGCTATATACGAATCAAATCCGAAAATTGTTTTACTCTTGCGGAGAAAGCAAAAAGTATCTCATTGCAAGCATTAATACAGCTGATACAGCACCTGAAGAATTCGCATCACAAATTTCGATTTAATTTAATCTTAGCTAAGTCAAATAAAAGTAAAAGTATTGCTAGAAGTATTAAGAAAATTTTTTTGTTACATTTTGATTGCTATTCAGTACTATTGATCTGTTCTTAATTAGTATTTAATTTGATAACCAATTTTTTAATTTATATTTCAGTACTGTTTTTAATTAGTATTTAAATGTTCACCAATTACAACGTTTTTATATTTGAATTTTGAGACATGATCAAAATTTGTTGCTCAGATTTGATGACTTGATCAAATCAAAATTTAAACTTGAAAGTCTATGCGGAAATTCATAACTATCTCAAATCTGCTTCATTTTCTTACATTTGTTCACCGAAAACTAACACTTTTATAAAATCTCAGTAATTTCTGAAATTTTTGAACGACGCATATTTTTTGCTAATTGTGTGAAATGAAAGTAGCTTTGATAACAATTTCTAAATTGTAAATATTTACCTGATGCAGGTAAAGTAATTACCCAAGATAGAATAATATTCCGAAATATACTCCAGCAAATACCTGAACGACGGGATTTGATTACTCCAACAGCTACTACACTACCAACCTGAATTCAGAATTGTCATCATTAGAGCTTCCCAAAACAACACTACAAAATTTACTTTACTTCAGTCAATGTTTATCTGCTACATTATCATTTATACCAAATATTGAAGAAGCTTCATCTCTCGACAAAGCTATTTTGATTTTTATGACTGAAAGTTTATTTCCTCAAAATATCTGATCAACTAATTCATTTAAACTACTTTGAAATTTTCAGACTTGATTTAGAAGTATTATTTCATCTAAGTAATAAATTGTAAAAGGATTCAGACTGATATTAAAAACATGCTTACTGATGTGAATCAAATAGACAAAAAGTTTGTAAATTACAAAAACAAATCAAATTGAATGATCTAAGCATTTGATAATATTATGCCAAGTATGTGAAAATATAATATATAAGGGAATTACACTTTTTACGATATTTTTACTGCTAAAAATTCATCAACAAAATAATTATTTAATAACTTTCCGACAAAAATAAACACACTTTTTATTTTTAAATTGCAAAAAACATTTGTGAAGTCATTTTTTACAAGGTTAAAAAATAAAAGTACCAGGCAGTGCGTTGTACTGATGGGTAGACCAGCTTTGCTTGCAAGCAGTGCCGTGACTGCAGCACCAAACTCGATAGTGAACCCACTACAAATTTTTGAAATATAAACAGTTCTTATTAAAAGGTTTTTTATTTTTAGAAAGAGTAAAACAGAAAATAAAAAATTACACTGACTTGTTACGGCATTTTTAAACGTGAAAATGTACGTACAATAAGATATAAATTATGTTGCAGTAAGGTCAAATTTGATTAGCTATATTACAAGTATAAATAATGATCTTTGATTGATCAAAATAAAAAAATTACAATAAAAAATGCTAAAACTTATTCGTTTAAAAATAGCTTACCTAGCTGGATTAATTTCTGACATCTCAGTGCCAACTGTTCGTATGACCTTATGTCCAAGTACAACTAATCCAACACACATTGCTACAACTCCATAAGCCAAGACATAAATAGGCGTTTCACCTTTCTGTTCAACATCCATGTCCGTATAAATGGACAACAGGGCCACCAAAGGTGCAATTGCATTGCTAAATGATGTTTGATTTTATGCACCCTTTTAATTACAAAAAATATCAAAAGAAAATAGATAAAAAATATTCAAACTTTGTACGTATTATTTTTTCATTAAGTTTGTGTTATCGGCAAAGATATTTAAAGGTAGCTAAATTACATGAATTAATGCATCGTTGGTGCAAGGTCATTAACGTTGTGATTGCTTATTATAATTACAACAAAATTAATTAGCCATTTAATATATTATATAAAATTTATAATTTACGCATAAATGTGTTAAATGGAAATTTTGCTTACGCAACGTCATTTGCTCCATGCGCGAAACCTTCAAAACAAGCAGTAAATGCTTGAATTGAACCAAATACGTGTGTAGTCTTTGAATCCGGCTGGCAATCTTTGTCTGGTAAAAACCATTTTAGTAGCTTTTTCCAAGCTATAAAAAATAATTAACGGATAGATTCTAACTGATGTAAACGTGCTGTATAATTCTATTTTTAGTTTATTTTGTTGTTCAAGCAATCTAATATATGTAATAGTAGATAAATAATTTAATTGCTTATTACTATTGATAAAATTATTTTTCGATCTATTTTTAGATCATACAAAATTAGTTCTTCAGTTCAGTTCAACGTCTAGAAATAAAATGTGAACGTCTTTGTTTCACGTTTTTAAGTATTGACTAAGTGATAAGTAATTATCATCCTTAAGAATCACATTGTTAACAGTACAGTTCTATCTATAAATAAAATCGTGATATAAATTGACAAGTTAGTAAGTAAATTATGTTAGGTTATGATAACTTATGATGCAAGTCGTCCAAAGAGTGCAAAGGTTAACCTGGAACAGAACGTTTATTGTTCTCGGATTCAATATTATCCACTGACGTCGTCATTTGCTTATCATCCAAAATATTGCTACCAGTAACAAAAATTTCCACTATTCCATCTAAATATTTAGGCTTAAAAATTGCTTACATCAAATGCTTTTTTCTGAATTAAAATAATAACACATACTGAACTATTCATTTTAACTTCACAGTTGCTTTTTTTTAACGATAACATCTCATTCAATTGCAGGAATTGCTAGCATTTTAAGTGTGGTACACGTGAGTTGTTTTTGGCCTTTTGTCTTTACAGTAATTAAATTTTCTCAGTAATTAAATTAAAAATTCATTAAAAAGTTTATTAAGCAAAACGTTACAATGTAAGATTATTTTAAAGCAATAAAAAATTACGTTTATTATTTATTGACGCATCCCCATTGATATTAGCCATATTCGATGCATCTTCAATTTCTTTTTCTACAAGAACATTCAGACTAAATTAAATAAACAACTTGGTAAACTTGATTATAATATTGAACATTTGACACCCAAAAAGTAATAATTGATAAAAATTTATTGAAAGAAAATGATTTAATTCACTAAACTTATAACATTTCAAATAATTCAGCACTGAACTATACTTTTCAAATTCAAAATCTAAGTAGAATTGAGAATACAAATTTACTTTGAACCCATTTTCTCAGTTGTGGTACCATAAACAAGTAAATAATGAAAGCAGCAATTGTGGCTATTCCAATACTAATTGACAAGCATATCCATAATGGTAAGCTTGCAAGGTGCAAAACTAAAATAGTAATTAATAAAAAACAATTATGTAAAACACCATTAATTACCATTAATTACTGTAAATAAAAATTAAATGGATAAAATTTTAATCATTTTTATTGCATTGAAATATAATTGTGAAGCTATTATTCATTGTGAACAGTAAATTAAATTTTATCAAACTTAATTAAGCACTTTTTTTAAAGGTAAAGTCAAACCTTTAGATCCTTGAAAACTGACAGCAAAAGCATTAAAAGCAATACAAAACCAATAAAATAACGGTAAAACTCGCAAGCCACATTCGAAGGGATTTTTCTAAAATAATTATTTCATATGAAAATATTTTTGAACTGATTATATTTAGTTACATGATTAAATGATTCTTTATGACAATTTTTTAATATTCTAATAAAAATGTCAAATTATATCTTTGTCAAATCAAATTAGAGATATTAGTATTAATAGTAAAAGTTAATGTGGACAAAAGTGATATGGAATATGTACGAACTCGTCGTATCACCGTGAAATCAACAAGTATATAAAGTACTGCAGAGGCAAGACCGGATAACAAAGGCGAAAGAATCCACGATGAGACTGAAACCAGAAATTTCCCAAAATACAAAATATAAGCATATGGTAAAATTAAAATATATATTCAAGTTAATTACTAAAATATTTTATACTAATTATTAAATTAAATCTATTATATGTTATCATTTCAAACAAAAAAAGAGCCTATATTGAAAAGATTTATGAATTTTTCAAGAATGCTTGTATTTTGAGGCATTAATTAGTTTGTTTTAGATAACAAAATATTGAGTATTTAGAGTACGTATAACTTAGTGAACAGTTTTGATTAAGAATATCTGAAAATTTTAACCGATGTCAAAAATTTTCCACCAGTGTATGCCTTGAAAACCTCTCATCAGTAAACCAAAACCAAGTGTTGCCCCGGTGATGCTATGCGTTGTTGAAACTGGTAACTGTGCAAATGTTGCAATCAGTAACCACGTTGAACATCCTAGGAAATTCACCACATCGCACCAGTATTAATAATTAGCATTACTAAAATATCTCTCTTCTATTTGCATGTATCAAACTTTTGCTTTTTACGAGACTACGTCTAATCTTAACGTTTAAGTATGAAATACATTTTAGCTTCAATTTTCGATTTTAAATCTCAGTAATCATTTTTGAAAAAACAAAAATTATGCCAATTGAAGAGATTTGGAACATAAAATCTCACCTATGTTTATAATTTTGCATGCAAAAAATTTTTTCCTGAAAATTTTTGAGGAATCAAAATTGTTTAAGCTTATCAATGAATCAATGAACCTCCAAGAATGGCCACTTGACCGATAAATAATTCTTTCGGTGTATTATTATATAATTCTACGTCAATGACACCTTTCCTCATTGTATCTGTCACGTTGTAACCTGAAATTTAATTACATTTCTGCAAAATAAATTATTCTGAAATACTGAAATGAATTTGATTTTTAATAAAAAAGTATGTGTGTTACAAATATGTCTATTCTAGTATTCAGGAAGTATCAGTTGAAATTTCGGACAATAGAAAATAAAATTCATTGCTAGAAAAACGTCAGTTGAATATCGATAAAAGGAATACGTGAAAATTAGCTTCAGACATACCAACGAGAACAGCTCCAAGAGATTCAAATATAACTGCAAGTAAATATGCTTTTCGAAGGGTCAGAACTTTGCTACCGACGGAAGTACCAAAAGCATTTGCAACGTCATTTGCACCCATTGCAAATCCAAGCACAAATGCTAAGATTATTCCCACGATCAAAACCCAAAAAAGTTGACTCTACAATATGCATATATTATCAAATTTTTAATTCAGAATCCTAAAGTATTATACTTTATTAAAAATATTGAATTTTTCTTACTTTTTGCTCCAAAGATAAAGCATTAAAAGTGAAAACATTAATTAGACTTGTATATTTGCTAAGATTATTAACTTTAAATCAGCAAAGCAATTTAAGACGACTTCTTATGCGTAAGTAATTTGCTCAAATAACTAAAACTTAACAGCTAATTATTACTCTATTAAAAAAATAATTAAATATAATTAAATTAGAAGTTATGACAAAAATTTGGATAAAAATAACTGATTATAATCAAAAAAATTGGGTTTTCATTAAAATTTTTAAGTTGTTTTACGAATAATTCAATTTGTATTGAAAGTAAAAAGTGTTTAGAGCATTTATTTTTGATAATAATTCCAAAACTTTTCTGTCACCCATTTTGCATTCAAATCTGACATTTTAGAAAATGGAATTTTTTTGTTTTTCAAAATTTCTTGCAAGAATTTTAATTTTCTAACGCAAATATCTAAAAGAGTTTTCAAAAAATTCAATTCAAAAGCGATATTAAAACTAAAATTTTCTTTTTCGCATATTAAATCATATTACCTTTGCGAATTTTCTTCATCTCATTGATCTGCAATGTTAAACTTTGAAAAGTTCTAACCCTGAACGCTTCCACTGTTAATAAAGTGTTGTCCGACGTCATGAGTGACGCAGCTGTTGACGTCAATAAGTCCATATTTATCCAAAATTATCTGAAATTGCAAAAATGATAAGATCATACTTTATTCGGCTTACGATAGGGATCGAATTACTGTACGAATAGTTACAACGTAAATGCCCAATTCCGTCATTTATAAAATACTTTAGTAGCACATTTTTTAATTCAATTTAATTATGATTGATTCTGCAAAAATCTTTTTCTCACATCAAAAACTGGTATAGAAATGGAAAAAAAATCCAACACGTGAACGTTTCAATAAATGATTCAGCATATTTTGAGAATTTCTTCTCATCTTTAGATTTAATCTACTATCATATTTACAGAAAAAAATTATACTGTTACAATTTCAATAAATTTTATAACTTTGAATATGAATAATCAACATCTGATAATCACAACTAATTACTGATATTTTTATCAACAGTTATCATAGTCAATTCATTATATATTAACATTTATCATAGTTATTAACATCACCATTACAAAACGCATCATTATTTTGCTTAATTTCAATTAATAAAACTATCATAAAATAGCTTGCAGTATTCAGTTTGATAGAGGTTTTAATTAAAAAAGTATTCAAAGAATTTAAAATTTAAAATTTACTTTAAAAATTAGACTTTATCCCACAAGCGCCAACAATTTTAAAATAAAAACTGAAGAAATATTTGAGAAAATAAACATCTAAACTAGAAGAATTTCTTAAACACAAAACACTTTACTCATTGCTTTCAGAATGATAAATGCAAAGTTATGCCTGCTGGGAATATGCATTTTGAATGAAAACATAATATTCTAAAGAGGAAATATTATATGCATTATAAAAATGCATCATTGCTCATAGTTATGCTCGAAAAATAAAAAAGTAAAAAAATTAAAATTTGAACAAAATTGAGAAATAAAGTTGGTAATATTGGTAATTAAACACGTAAAAATATGCATATTTCAATGACTCGCTAGCTTTTAGGATTATTATGTCAATTTTATCTTTTATAAAATTAATTAATTAATTTCTTTATTTATTTATTTACGATTTAATTTACTTACACAAACTCACAGTTAAGACACAATAAAAAATTCAAATATGCTATTATTAAACTGATTAACAGTTTTTCAACGGCAATCAAATAGGATTTGCAGAGAATTATTTTTTGAAAATAATGCATTTTGCAGTGATTGCATTTCACTTCAAATATGTTCTCAACTTATGACAAAAGTAAAAAATAAAAATTAGTGAGATAATATGCTAACAATAATTTTATGTAAAGCTTAAAGCTTGAATCCACTGAAAGTGGTTATTTTTGAATTTAACTAGTTTGAATTTCTTAAATAATTTCACTTTCAGGCCTTTATAAATCATTTTTACATTCCTGAGCTTTCAAATATCATTACACTTTGGAATTGTAATGATATTTGAAAACTTTCAGCAACTTTAATAACTGATTAATTAAGCACACAATCAGTAAGCAATATGTGCTAATTCATTCATTTTTCTCTGTGAGATAAACATTAAAAATTAAATTGATTTTTGTTAATTTAATTTTTTGTCTAATTACGTGTTTATTACACACTTTTCTGATATTATAAATTTAATTTCAATAGAAAAATTGATTAAAAAAATTTTAAAAGTAAAAATAGAAAACAAGCTAACCAAAAAAAATAATTAGCATTTTATTACTGCAAGCAAATTATTGACTGAAACTTCAATTTTATTTAATTAACTCCAAATTTTTGCTCAGTAAAAATTATTACTTATACTTATATATAAGATTAAAAAAGGATCTTTACAGAGTTTTGTTGAAAAATTTTTCTAATAATCTTTATTTATTTTAATAATGCAATATTTTGAAAGAAAATTTCAAAAACTAGTCGACAAATTTATATATTATACTTACTTTAATCCTTAAAATTAATGCATAGCTATAAAATTAGCGCCAAAATCAATTAAAAATTTAAATGTATTTATTTTGAAAAAGGAAAACTGTAATGTTCACCAAA